GGTCAAAGTGGAAAAGTTAGGTTTGGAACTGTATAGGCTTAAATTCTGCATAACAGCCTAACAAGCCGAGCTTGATAGGATAATAGATAGAGCTCGAAAGTATAAGAGGTCATGTTCGACAACTCGAGAGGATGAGCTTGGTAGCTTTAGAGGATGAGCTCAACAGCTTGAAAGGATGAGCTCGACGACATTACAGGATGATCTTGGCAACATTATAGGATGATCTCGATAGCATTAAAGGATGAACTCGATAACTCCAAGGCCTGGTTGTTAATCCTAAAACTTCAGAACAAATAAACTAATTAACCTAGTGTAGTATTTATACTGCTCTAAAACTAATTCTAGAACTAAAAACCAAAACCTACACTAAACAAACTAACTAATATGGTCCAACATGGTCAAACATCTACAAGAAGAGTTGAAGTCATGCATGAAGATGGTCTAAACTCTACCTTTTGGATCACTTTTGGAGCCATTATGGAGCATAGCTTGTAGTAGTGTAGGTGGTTTAAGGCTTGTATTAAGGCCTCGTTAATGTAGGATTTTTCCTTAAGTTAGACATTCAAACCATGTGAAAAGTATGTGTCATGTGTCATGCTTCCATTGGAGAAGATTTAACTTTAGTAATGGTCACATGACACTATAGGAATGAAGAGGATGGTCCTTATGAGTCGTTACATGTCCTTCCCTCATTGGAGATGATTCGTGGACACTTGTCCACTCCTTAGAAGGCCTCATTTTCGGTTAATGAGTACAAAGGTGAGAGATCATGCTTTTAGGGTTTTTAGGAGACACCCTTACCTATATATAAATGTGTATCTTCTCTTATAATCATCTTTGATGTTGAGTAAAGTTATGCTGCCCATTTTTTGCCATACTACTCATCTTAGATCAAGACTAGAATAAGCCATGAGATCGCTCTGGTCACTTTCCTCTTAGAGTTGACCTAACCTCTCTTAGAGCCTTCAAACACCACATCACCACTGTTTAACCACCATATGGTTGTGAGCTTCAAACCCCTATCCTTGATGATCCACCACACTTTTGCACCATATATCTTCAAGGGACCATCTTTATTGCATCCTTTTAGTTTTGGCCCAACCTAGCCAGGAAGGTTGTTATGATTTGGTATCATAGCTTTGGTTCTTCAAGAACTAAATCTTTTGGTCCTTATCTATCCTTTTTTGTGTTGCTGATGTTATTTTCTTACATGTCTTGTTGTGTTTTTCCATCTATCATTTGTTATGGTAGTAAACTGTGACGATTTTAAAAATTAAACTACATTTTGTTTAGTTTTCCAAAAAATATGTATTTATAGTTAAATTAAAGTCATTTGAGTCTAGTTTCTAACAAAAAAATCATTTCATTTGGAGTTCTATGAATAAAGTTATGAGTAAAACACTCAGCAAATGTCAGAGTTGCTAGAATGTTATCATTATTGTTTTTCTGGTTCTGTTTTGGTGGTTTTGACTATAGTTTTGTGCCTTATAAATGCTTCTAAATGTGTTGGATATCATGTTCTTAATTTTTATTAATTCTTTATTTATCTTTTGGTTTGGTCATTTTAATTTTTAATCCTTCTATGTTATCTAGATTCATGTCCTTTACATTTCTTTATTTTCAAGTTTAACCTTTTAAAAATCACCAAAAATATGTTTAAGCAATTTTTGAAATTGTTTCATTTAAGTACCTTTAAGTGTTTTTTGTTTACATATTTGAGTTCATACTTGTTGTTAGTTCATCAACAAGTTCATAAAATTAGGTTTCACATATGTCATTTTTGAGTTTCTTACCATCTTTTGATTTTAGTAGAATTTTTCTACCATTTTGTGTATGACCTTATAGACTTCTAAAAGCATATTTGAAATCGGATTTGTGGTGTGTAGAATTGTCTTTAATGTTTTGGAAAATTACAAGAAAGTTAAAAGACAAAAGGGCAAAAATAAAAAGTAACAAAAAGAAGTACAAAAGCAAAAAAAGCAAGCAAAAATTAAGGTATATTTCACACTACCATCACTACTTTTTGGTATTCATCCTTATTTGTCAAAATACTCTTCTTTCATATATTTCAAACGGTCAAAATATTTTCACTTTTACCCTTTTACTTTCCTCTCTTCATTTATTTCTACAACACCAAACATATTAGGACATAAATGACTTTCAAAATCGGAACAACAAATTCCTCTTAACTTTACATACTCTATTTTTTATTAGAAATACTTGTCACTTCATATATATGTTTGGTATTGTTTGCTTCTATATTTTTCCTACCAAACAACAGTTAGGTGGGCCTTTACCATTGTCAAACAATGGACAGTAACTGTGACGTCCCAAAATATATAGAAAAGCATATATAATAAAGACGTCATCATGCATAATATAGGAAAGCAATCAAGAGTAATTAAGGATTACATTCATCCTTAGAATAGTGTGAAATTGAAAACTAGAGTATTAGAGTTTCTTCCTAGAAATTTCAGAGAATTTAAAACTTTAAATGCACTAAAGTTCTTCAAAATAATATGAGTTCATGGAATAAAAGCTAGCAAATCTAAGTTGCAGCACTACCGTCCCCATCAAGAGCTGTTTCCAAAGTATATCATCCTCGCTATCTACTTCCACCCAAGTGGATGATCATCGCAAAGGCAACATACACAAATAAGCACAAACAAGCAAGGGTGAGCTAGATATACAAAAATCATGTTATACCAATCACACACAATATGCAATTAAAGGCAAATATATTAGACCACGATCACAAGACTTGTTACTTTATAAACCGACTCGTCCGAAGTAGAATGATTGCCGAGCTATGACGGGTTATGCACTCGTGGTGGCATCTACTGCTTTGCAAAGTCATTGCCAATAGGTTTCACCCTACCACACTCACGAGGTTAGTCCGTTATCACTCACCTTGGGCCATACTGGAAGCACCCAAGACTAGGACCTCCTGCTACTCCTCACCACATGTATCAATCCTCTCTACTTGAGAATGAAAGACCATTTGAGCGTCAGTAAAACCCCCAAGACTAAGCTACCATGCATTCATTCCAAACACTGAGGGCACCACCATGAATCCTCACCTTGAGGCCATGGAATTACGTCCATTACACTTAGGGCACCACCATGTGACCTCCCTTGAGTTCCATGGAATTACGTCCATTACACATACTTGTTACATTCAACCACCAAACATGTCTCATACATTCACATACTTTCAGTATAATAACATTACCACGATCATACTATGCATTTCAATCATTCCGCACACTTAATTCAAACCAAAACGAGAGCAAATGAGCTTGAACCGAACGCTATGAGCTTTGGTCGAGCACTGAGAGTTTTGGCCAAACGATCAGAGCTATGGCCGAACACCTAGAGCCCTGGCCGAACGCTTAGAGCCCTGACCGAACGCTTAGAGCCTTGGCCGAACACCTAGAGCCTTGACCGAACACCTAGATCCCTGGCCGAACGCTTAGAGCCCTGGCCGAACGCTTAGAGCCCTGGCCGAACGCTTAGAGCTTTGGCCGAACACCTAGAGCCCTGGCCGAACGCTTAGAGCCTCGGCCAAACGCTTAGAGCCTTGGCCGGACACCTAGAGCCTTGGCCGAACGCTACTTAGATCACGTACCACTAAGACCGAGCAGTATCAAAACCGAGCACCATAAAGAACGAACGCTACCAAATCAATACATGACCGAACGGTACCGAATCAACACCTGACCGAACGGTACCAAATCAACACCTGACCGAACGATACTACATCAACATCTAACCGAACGGTAACAACTAAACACATGACCGAACGGTACCAAATTAACACCTGACCGAATGGTAACAACTCAACATTTGACCGAACGGTAACAACTCAACACCTGACCGAACAGTACCAAATCAACACTTAATCGAACGGTACCAATTCAGTTCTGACCGAACCATACCAAATCAACACCTAACCGAACGGTACCAAATCAACACCTAACCGAACGGTACCAAATCGACACTTAATCGAACTGTATCAATTCAGTCCTGACCGAACGGTACCAAATCAACACCTAACCGAACGGTATCAATTCAGTCCTGACCGAACGGTAACAACTAAACATTTGACCGAATAGTACCTGTCGCGTTCTGCAGAATTATGCAGAATTGCAACCAGACTCCAGAGTACCATTTCTAGCCATTTTCCCGAGATCCATTTACAACAGCATAGTTCTACAATCACTCATACAGATCCATACAAAACAAGGTCACTCTAAACACAAACTTGTTCATCAAACAACAGAATATTACAGATCAGCATATGTATAGTTCATACAACCCATATAAAAGAATCTAGCTCCCCTTACCTGGGTTTCTCCAAGCACAACTACTAAAATTGCCCTAGCAGTACCCTTGACAACACAAGAACTCAACCTGCCCCTACAAACCACCAAAGTGGTGACCGCAACAGCTTTTAGAGTTTGAATAGGCGGAACGTACGAAAACGAAATCCACTAGTAACATGCAAACAGTAGCATGCCCTAGGTTCAAAGACAGTGAAGGAGAAGGGAATAAATGACTTATCGATCGGAATGAAGAGGACGTTCGGTAGAAATGAAGCCCTCTACTCCGCCGACGCTTGGTTAGCACCAAAAATCGAATTTCTATGGTTCAAGAAGCTGGGAATCTAGAGAGAAGTCAGAGAAAACCTTTAGGGCAAGAGTTTTAGAGAGAGAAAGGGAAAAGTAGAAATGAAGACTCTGGTTTTTGGGGAAGGACCCTTGTTAAGGTCAGGTTCCCTTAGTCTGGCCTGGTTGCCTCCAACTAGGGCCCAATAGCCCTTTTTATTTATTTAGGCTCTTACATTAACCAACACCAAACTATCTTGGACTATATTTGAGTGATGAGAAAAGATATAGAGAGAAACAAACAGGGAGAAAATGGTAGATGTAACAATTGAGGAGATGGAAAAAAACTTATAAAATAAAAGGAGTAAAAATGTGATAAAATAGAAATCGAACAAATGTCTATAATAACTAAAATACTTTAATCCTTTCAATATGTACATTGCATGCCTTATGAAATGGTTACCATAATGAGAAAAACAGATTCCACTCTAACAAAATATACCAATATCAGTGGCCATGTATGCTCCAATCAGTACATTGGAGACCCCATTGTAGAATCTATATACAAGACTTTGTTGTTCTTTCGTATATCATTCTATATATAGATTGGTTACCTTCTAACCTCACTGTTAACTCTTCTCTACAAGAACGGCCTTCAACTTATCTACTACAGTCAAAAGAGAGGAATTTCCCTCACAAGCCTCAACCAATATTTTTAATCTGGACTCTAACAAACTCTTCTCAGAAAACACAGCATTCAGCTGCTCCTCCGTGACAAATGTTGATGGCTTGTTATGGTGAATGAGGTTCAATAACATTCCCTGAAACAGAAGTTCCATTAGTTAATGTTTTGGCTACACCACCATAATGTATGTGAAATTGTAAATACGGATGCAACAAAGTAAAGCATATAAGGAAGGATAGTGATAGGATCATAGGACAATATCTTAACTCATACTTCATCCATGACACAAATACTGCAACTAGGATCTATCTAAACAGTGATGTCTCACTGCACAATCTTAAAATTTTATTTTTTAGGCCAAATGCTAGTTGATACATCCAAACAATATGATGACAGGACAAGCACACACATATTCTCAAATAGACTCGTGTTAGGGATCACTATGAACTACACATATTCACACACCAGTTGATTTCCTTAATCAGATTCAGATTGGCTAAAACTAATTGAATAATTAATGGAAGCACAAGTTCTGAATGGAGATTAGCCTCAAGTACAATTTCTCCATCAGGGTTAAAAGTTTTGTTACCTCATGTTGCGATTTCCCTGCATAATCTCGCAAGAGAGATCTAGCAAGTCTGTTTCGCAGCAATAACTTATCCGTGGGACAGGCATGAAATATAAAAGAGGAAAGATGATGAACAACAAGAGTATATGCAACTGATCCTCGAATTGCAGCTCTGTCAAGGGCGTCTGAACACCAAGACTTTGCATAAGCTTCCAAAATTGCTTCATTATCCTGCAGAGATAAGGTACACGATTGATGTTAATTTAAATACATTGCATTCTGAATCAATGACTAGTATGCATTGCAGGTGCAACCACTAGTGTAGTACTTCCTGAGCTCACAAAAGCTTCCTCGAAGTTCATAAAGCTACAGTACAACCAACGCAGTAAATTATTTAACACAAATTCTGCAGCATGGTCAATTACAGCAATAGATTAACATGACCAAACACTATCCACAAAGTTAGTGTTTGATAAGATCAATAAGAGCTTGTCTGTAATCGCCATCTTTATTTTTCTCCTCTTCAAAGTCTTCTTTATGTTCAATGAAAGTAAATGTTCTCTAGGAAAAAACTACACCTCTTCTTTCACAGAACCTTCGCAAGAAGCAATATTATTATCTATATCCTCTTTGCCTTCTGTTACATTTTTATTTTTACCTATATTGGTTAGTCCACTGCAAATACTAATACTAGGGCTAGGCAAATATCTAGAGAAAAAACAAAAACTCAGATAACACTGCTATGTAACCTTTTACATTTTCTGTGACATCTTGGATTGTATTTATCATATCGTTTTTGGGATTAGAAGTCTTAATAGGTAAATCCCCGTTTCTTAACCAATAATACACAAAGTAAAGGTCATAGATGAATAAAGCATTCATTTTAACATTTTAAAAAAATTAAACAATTTTATTTGATGCAAAAGAAGCTTTCCTTGTACTTTGTGGCATATGCTTTTATGATTTAAAGTAAACTTTTAAGCAACTACCTTTTGAAAATTTACAAAAGTATGCATACAATAAAATATAAATACCAGTTATATATTCAACCATATATCTTCAACACAGAAAGAGTCTTAACAAATAAACTTCAAATCTAATTAACTTTAAAAAATTGTCTTGTAAGATGAGATTTATACTTAGTTCTATACTATAATTTCTAATGGTTACTAGATATCCAACTGAACATATCAAAATAACAAATACTCAAACCGAATCAGAACATGGTAATGATCCATGGTAAAATAGTTTGATATTTATTGAATATATTTTCTTACCTCCGAAGGTTCAAGGTATCCTTCAGCACTCGACAAACATTTTTCTAAAGGTGGCAAAAGCTCAAGAACACGTGCATTGGACAGTGTATTCCAGGCAGCAAGGCGAATGGAAGTTTCAACACAACGATGTAGATAGACTGAAACTTGCCGGCCAAAAATCACATCACCATAAGACACAGCAGAAAACTGCTCTATAAGCTCTTCTATAAAAGTTGAGTAACTTTCATGAATCTCAGATTGGAACTGTAGAAACTCAAGATTCTCTTTATCTTCTGAAATAACGTCTTTACTTTGGTTAAGCCTTTCCTCGTCAACAAGCTCACCATATAGATCCTGCAAAGCTTCAAAATTATCCCTGCTCCGATCATGTTCAAGTATTTCCATTCCAACAACAAAATTGACAGACAAGGAATGTAACTTCCATGTTAATGATACATGATGAACAGGAGAAGGAATGTGGCCTTGAAAAGTGGACATTGCTTCAACACCTAAAACAAAGAAAAGTCCACATCTGGCAACTTCAAGCAAATTAGAGGAATCTTGTAGTACATCATCAATTTTTTGAGTACCAGCTCGCTTGCTATGGAAAATTGTTGAGATTGGACTGAGGTAAAAGTGAGCTGGAAGTGGTAGCTTCTGGTGAGCCCATTCTAACGTTAAAGAATTACAGCTTGGACTTACCATGGAAGACATGTCTGAATCCTCATAAATGGTTTCCAAACAAGTACCGACCTTTGGAGAGGTCTTAATGCCAGAAGAACTACTGTCATCAACAGCTTTCGACTTCACCTTTTCAGACAGCCATCTGCTCCTAAAATGAGATGATAACATATTGCTTAAGTGTATGTAATCCTCTTCTTCATGTTGCCAGCTAAAGGTTTTACCCCTCCTATTAGAGAGATAATTCTGTATACAGAGATCAAGGTGCTTCAGTAAAGAAACATGCAGTAGGAGATCCAATGTCTTCTCTACAACAACCTTATCTCTAGGCCCTGCAGTTAAGCACAATCCCAAGCTAGCATTAACCCTTTGCACAGTAAAGGCTGTTTCTTCTGTCACGACATCTTTAGATGCGTTTTCAAAAATTTCCAGCAAACAGACAAGAAATCTTGCATCTGTTTGTGCCAATAAAACTGTCACTGACCAAAACCCTCCACCTGGGGCACCCCATCCAATTCCTGCTCCTGGAACAGGTCCACCTCTGCCAAATGACTCAATGGATTGTACACGGTGCCACCCTGAAGAAACAGAAGACATGAAAACATCAAGCATATACCTCAAGTCAACCATAAACCCATTAACAATGCCACCCTTGAGTACTTTTCCTTCTTTCGAGAAACTTTGTTCTTCTTGGCTTGGGATGCCAATCTTGGCAGACTGTATAAGATTATCAATAGTAGTAATAATCTTCACAATTCCATTCAGACAACAGGTGGAAGCTAAAGACATTTCAAGATCATTCTTCTGCCTCAAATAAATTAGTTCCTTCATAAAAGATTCACCTTCAGAATCTCTACATTTTGTCCCAACAGATGCAGAAAATCCCAAAAGCCAATGTTTGATCAACTCAAGTCCAATCTTAGGTACAAATTCTGGAAGCCATGGCACATGCCCTTCAGTTTCATGAAAGCTGGTAGTACTCCCCCATGTCATCCTTTCAAGCACTCTGAAAAGCATGTTAGTCACTGCAGTATACGCCCACAATAAAGGAGTTGAAGAAAAACCTCGGAAACTATAGTCACATCTCCTGTCTTTCTGTCCCTCAAAGAATTTAGATACTTCCGGATCACTTATAGTCGCCATCCACCTTATGGCTAAGTCAACCATTGGACCAACATAACTCCAAGACCATACCTCTGAGTCACCAGTGAATTCTGGAAGTTTATTGTTTAAACACTGCTTTGAATATAAATTTGGAAGTCTTCCAGACAAAGACTCCAGAACAAGGTATGCTTCCCTGGAGATGGAAGTATATTCATCCAAAACATTGTTTTCAACAAGTTTTTCAAATGAAAGCGGTTTCAACCAAAAAGAGAAGGCAGGGAACATTTCTGAGAAGTACGACACACAATATCCATATTGAATGCAAACCCTCCAGAATTGCAGTTGTTCAACAATCAGAGCAGACATGAGTTTACATTTTTCCTTCCCTAACCTTAGCCAGTGGTCAACAGAGGAAGGACTTTGATACAAATTCCAAATCATAGCCTGAAAATGCCCTTTCTTTATAAACTCCAGACAAATTGTCTGGTTTAACCGAGCTAACACCTTGTCCAAAATAAAATAAAACATTAGGAATGATTATCTAGCTGCTGATGCAGAAATAACTTTACATAAGTTACAAGGGAAAATGTATCAACCTAGAAAATAAAACGGAAAATTACCACTCACCTTCAAGAGTCTTACAGATCTTATCATAGAAGATCGAATTTCAAAATTGTCATAAGTAAATCTATTCACAATTGTCTGAACAAGTCTTTCGCATTTCAGCACAGCATTAGCACATGTAGGTGAATGCCTCGCTAATGCAATAAGTATAGAAATAATACATTCTTCTAAAGCTGTCGTAGGATCCGTCTGCAACCATTAAAGACTAATGAATTTGACGTGGAAGTTCAAAAATTGTAATTTGTAAAACTGAAATATTCTTAACCTTTGTACACAAAATCTCATGACTTCAAATGTTTCAACATGGTTAATTATTAAGTTTTACCTCCAAAAGATAACGAAGTCTAGGAAGGATTCCCATGCGAACTAGACCTACAGTAAAATCTTGCCCAGCAACAACTATATCATCTTGAATAGTATGTTTTCCTTCGGTCTCATTGTCCATTGAATCGTCGCTGAAAGTAAGAATATTGGAAGGTTTAGCGCTGTACTTCCAGAAACCCCCTTGAAGGAATCCAACGTTAATATCTGGTCTGCTCCTAAAAACTGGAGCTGTGAAAATATCCATGTCACAAGTTGCTACCTTCTGGAATTAAAGAAATAAATTAATCAGATGAATATAATTTTAAACACAATAATATTATCAAATTAAAGATAATAACTATGAGAAATTCAATTACCTCTGAGATATCCCAGTAGTTCTCATTTGCATCACAACTCAATACACATTGAACAACTTTTGCACAGGCCAGAACTACAGAATTGTGATTATCATCAAGACATATCCTTCAAAAAATCAGAGCGCAACTGCCATCATATTAGGCTCGTATAATGAGGACAAAATAATTATATGACAACACAATTTAAGAGAATTGAAGTATTAATCAGAATATTTTTCATAAGCTACTCATAAGAGTGCATCAAACACATCATAAAGCTACCCTCTAGCCTCACCAACACTCCATGTTATTAACTACATGGGGACAAAAGGATGATGAGTCAAGTACATCTCACTCTTCCAATAGAAATCTAGAAACAGCTATGCAGGTAATAAAATTACCCAAAGGGAGGCTGTTGTTCCAAGTATGCAAGCTAGGAAGAAGACCACAATAAAAAATAGGAAGATCCAGAGTACACAGTAGCTAACCGCAAATCATAATAATTAACAAAGCTTATATAAGCACAGAATTTATTAATATATAAGAAAAATAGAAAAATATAAGAGGTTAAGAAGCCTCAACAACTAAAGACTCGACAACCAAAAATTAAGGTAAAAAACAAAGATCAATAAACATGCAAAACATGCCAATGTCTCCATTGATCTAACAAAAACAAAAACTAAAAAAGACTATAACCAGAACACCACAAAGAAGCTAGGAAAACTACTTGATCCCTAGTGAACCCAATAGAAGACTCATGAAGAGATGAAGCAAGCATTTCTATCCAAAAAAGTATACCCAAAGAAAAAGCAAGAACAACCAAATCCTCCAAAATTAACATACAGGAACTGCTGAAGATTCTCCAACAAAAGCCAATATTCACTGAAAACACCAAACAAATTATTCCAGAGAAAGGGAACTGCTGAGTAACATTAGAACAAATAAGAACCAATGTAACAGCTAAATCTACGCATCATGCAGTAATAAGGGCTCAAGAGAAGGCAGATATACATTTTCAAATTTGACCAATAAAAACTTCAAAAAGAGGGAACAGAAGGAAAGACCAGCTAGCTGGAATGAAGAAAAACAACCACAAAGAAGACATAGCCGAAAACTAAGCAGTAGAATAGTGATGGAGTGGTTGGATCACAGGATATAATCAGTTTGACAGTTTGATTTCATGTTAATATTATACAGATTTAAATAAAAAAGGAGAGCTGGAGAGAAAGGTATCTTCATTGGTGAGTAATGACGTGTTACAAAAAGACAGCACTAATTGTCATCCCCAAGAAAGGGTGCCAATCCTAAATAAAAAGAAATTATGAAAAAAATAATTAAATATGGAAATCACTCCCAAGATATTAACTAATATAGTCTAAAATATTCCAAGTCATCATAATCATGTTATCAAATATTTTAACACAAATAAGGCTGGCTTCTAGAGTAGCAAGACAGTAAATACTCAATAATGTCAACAGATATTTGCTCTCTAGCTTCTTCGAGTCTATGTCACGTGCCAGATGGGCATGATATTACTAATTATATACATAACCAAGACTGAGATTTACTTAGATACAAACTAATCAACTCGTGCGCTAAATTATTAATTGCAATAAAAGCAGCAATATTAATTTTCTTAAAAGAGGAAAAAGATAACCATGCAACTTCACTCAGTCATACAAGGTAGTTGACAATATCAACAGCTTGGACCAAAAAGTAAAATTTACCTAAGTGACAACACAAGCTCAGGTTCTGGACCCAGTGCAAAAGCCCAAACAGCCTCCCAGTCAACTGATTTGTCAACTTTGCTCTCATGTTTTGTCATATGGCCTGTTCTGTCTTTACAAATATAGTTCAATGCCTTATCAAGCAAAGATGACAGGAGATGCAATGCAAGGGCCCTTTGTCCAGGAATCTAAACAAAAATATTGGCAAATGCTAAATTACTAAAGGGGAAATATTATAATTTTCTTTATCTAATATCCATAATTGTGAAGCCATCTAAACTGTTCCAAATTCAGACATCCAATATACTGCATACAACTGAAATATACACCAATTTCGACAAATAACATACCACACTTCTAGTGAGTGCCACTGCTTCTTTAATTGTATAACCAGCAGCACCAGGGTCTCCCTCGGTCCGCAGATAGTCGCGTTCAGTGACATTATCTGTATAATGACAGAGAATTGTCACGTAGAAAATTCAAAATTTATATGTTCAACCCCAACCTATTTCCAAAGTAAACATGATATCCACGAATATTGAAATCTATATTCACACCTCCACTCTGTTTTATGCAAATGTTAACAACTAGTATACTTAATATAGAACAGGAAGCAACTAATATAATCTATGAACTTGGAAACATTTGGAAGCAAAGGAAGCTTCAATCAGAACAGCTCTGTTAATTTCTAGTACAATTCCGAGGGGTTTGGATAGGGGGCATTAATATACACAGCTCAATGCTCTTAGACAGACCATAATTTAGCAACACTATTGATCTTATGTTGCTTGTATTTTGCATTTACTGGGAATATATTGCCTAGATGATACACATGGAAATGCTAACATGTAGATAGAGATTAATGAAAGCAAATATTTGTTTGATGAAAATTCAAATGTTTTTCAAGTCCAACGTAATTTTCCTCCTCAAAGGTGTTAGAGATCTCACATCGATAAAACAAATTTACAATATATAAGTAAAGGCAACCTTCACCTTACAGGTTTATTTTGTGAGGTTAAGTTAGACATATGTTCACTTACTAAGACAATATTAAAGCCTAACCTAGCAAGGCTTGTTGAGCCTATTGTGTCACCCACTATTACACCGTTGTCGAACTACTTACAAATATCTTGTCCCACAAGTGAGATGTCCATGCCTTGATGGAGGAGGTGTGTTGGAAATTCTACATTGACTAGAGATAAGTTCAATTTACAATATATAAATAAGAGCAATCTTTACCTTAAAAATCAATTTTGTAAGGTTAAGGCATGCATATATCCATTTACTAAGAGGCCAAATCATGTAATTGTATTAAAATCAGAGTCCCAAATTCCAAATATTAGGACAAATAAGTATCCCCCACTGTCAAAAAAAGACAGACTGAAAAATTGGGGACCGAGAAGTTAAGTGTAGGCGTCATTCACCCAAGTGTATGTCCTGAAGAAAGATGGGGGATGGTGATTTTGTGTTGATTGGATTCAAAATCAGGTTACCATCAAACAAACAAGGATGAGGAGGATGATATTAAGGAAACGTCCTTTTAAACTCATGATGGACATTATGAATTGGTATCTAGTTTGGTTTGACTAATGTTCTTCAACTTTCCAAACCTTAATGAATGAGATGCTAAAAACCATTTTGAGGAAGTTTGCGTTAGTGTTTTTTTTTTCATGACATTCTAACTTTTAGCACCAATCAATAGGAACATGTGCAACAATTGGAAGTAATTTTGGAGGTATTGTTACAACATGATATGAGAGTAAATAAAAAGAAGTAGCTTATCGGCTGGAACTTCTGCCCCATTCCACCCCATTCCAAAGAGCACCTGATATTCCATGTGGCACTTTTTAAGAATGTTATACACCCCACACAAAAGACCTCAGCCCCTTCCTAAAGTACTACCACTAGCTCACAAGTTGAAATTGTTTCAAGAAGCTTTTGCAGGATTGAAAAATAAATGATGTTCGCCACAGGAGATTCTCATTAAATGGCAGCAGTTACCAGAATTAGAAAGCAGTTGGGAGAGACTTTTAGTTGTGGCATAAAATTTTCCACAGTTCCACCATGAGGACAATGTGCATCTTCATGGGGTGGGTATAGATAGGGTATGGGCCCCTATTGCAAAGGTTTATGAAAGAATAAATAAGGAAAATGGGAAAAAAGTTATATGATGCTAGGAGTTAGTTACGATGTCAGCAGAGTTAGTTAAGAGTAAGAGAGGTCAGTATAAAAAATGAGGAGAGAGAAGCTGAGGGCACGGGATATATTGTTGGGAGGATTCTGGTTCCTCAATGAACCATTGCTATTCTTTTCTGTAATATCTTACATTTTGGAAATAAACACTGTTACTTTCTTGTTCTGGAAATTCATTTGGTTTCTGATCCAGTTTCTATATAATCTATCAGAAATAACTGACCAATAAAAAAATTCTTAGCCAATATATATCAGTTTACAGAATCCATAACAGTATAAAAAGATACTATAACATGCAAGGATATACAAAGCATCATATTGACATTAGAACTCAAGATAGTTAAGAAAACATAAGAATAGAAAGGTGTACCGTAGACTGATGACTGTTCAGAATCAACAACATCCCCATCCAAAGAAAATCGTAGCTCTCTAACAGCCTCAACTCTATTGCTCCAAGCATTCCATGTGCTACTACTAGCGGTGGTTGAAGTCTGTGCGCTAATTTTGTTATCATCTAGCTTTTTTTCGGATGGTGATGTCATCACTGTATGAGAAACACCATTCTCTGTGTGCAGATGCTTGGCATCCTGAAGACTCTGATTATGTCCCTTCAAAGATTCTGAGCCAGTGCCCACTTCTGATTCAGTGCCCACTTCTGATTTTAAACCATCTCGTTTCTTCAATTTCTCGTGCCCCCTCTTCTGTAGTACTTTTAGTAATGAAGGGTTCATCTTCGCCATTATCTCAGCCTGGGCTTCTGCAATCTCCTCAGCTGACATTTGCTGAATCCGAACTTGATTCTCATAATCAATTTCACTTTCCAGTGACACAGACTTTTGGTCACTAATGATACTATTGGAACTAGAAAAAGACGGCATGTTTGAATTTAAGTGAGTTTGCTTTGGTCTTTGCACATCTAGAGATCCAAAATTGTAATCAGACATCCTATCAGAGCAAATTTGGTCTAAACCAGAATCAAATTCACTTTGGTCCTGATGATGTGCCTTATTTGATGTATCTATATCCATAATCTTTGTTGAACTGATAAACCCACCATCTGAGTCATCTAACAATGGTTTCATATCCACTTTCATCTGAGAAATAATATTACTATCAGAAGATGAAGTTTTCTTGTTTAGACTCTTACTGCCGTTTTCATACTTCTTTTTCCCTGTACTTTGGCTAAATCTTGACACACCCTCCTCTGATTCCTTCACCAAAGAAGAACCATCATCCGAACTGATCTCTTTCCATTTTCTAAAATCCAAACCCTTTTTCCTCCTCCTTTCTACCGGCTTAGCAAAGGCCGAAACTCTTTCAAACTCCTGGAAATTTTTATCTTCTTCATCCTCAACGTTATTGTCACCATCATCATCCTTTCCATTAGTCAGTGGACGCCAATGCTGTAAAACCACCAGAACCTAACTATCAGTCCAAAAAGCTTACTACACTTTACACAAGTTACATTCATAGTAAACTAAAACGAATCAACGTAACAGTCACATTTTCATTTTTCATAGCCTTCTTAGACCTTTGAGGCTCAACAGACATGATGAACAGTTCATTGGTTACTCCTACATAGATTTTTTTTTCACACAAAACCAAGTAATACTAACTAATTTATTCTCATATCTAACGGGAGACAAAGAAATAGAAAATCCCTCTATTTCATTTGCTGTGTTCACTAAAAAACACGCTAGAGGACAACTTAAATAAGAAGAATGCAGTGAACCCCACCACATGCCAAAACAAAGTAGAACTTCGTATATATCTCCAATTAACACTCACGAAATCTAAATTCAAGCATACCCTCCTCGGTTAAACTCAATATAAACATAGAAAACATGAAAAGACTATTTGTTTTTTCTTTTCATACTTTACTCATCACAACACATCTTCGTTTCAATTAAATTCAAGCATGATACAATACAATATAAGAACAAAAAAGCTTTACAGTGAAAAGGGTAGCCGAAAGGGGAGTTCAAGGAGAACGAAAGGGCACTTACAGGGCCATGTGAACGGTGGCGCGCAACGGGGAAAGGTAGAACAGTGGATTTGGGAAAAGAGATGAAGGGTGTTGTGGGGTTGTTGTGTGAATCAGAGATACCCTTTTCCACGATGGAACCAACCAATTGAGAGGCATCTTTTTCGTTTATTTGCAGTGAACTCGTGCTCAAAATCTTCACTTTCTTAGGTTGTTCTCTTCCCTTTGGATGATTCTCCATAGCAGTTGGCACACACTTCACCAACACCAAAACAGAACAAAGAGTGAGAGAGGGAAGAAAAAAGAACGAAACTATGAAGGGTTGGACTCCGGAATTAGGCTTTCTTGGGCAGCTTCTGCACCTCCATGTATTTGTTGCTGCACCCCTATAAATAAAATTTCCGTTTTACTCTTTGCATTGTATAATTGGAAGTCAACATGGAATTTTGGATTATATAAAGTTAAAAATAATGTAATTTATAAGTCGTTTTTTTTCTTATAATTTTTTTTTAATTGTATAATCTAAAACAATGATTTTTGAATTATACAATTCAAAGGTAAAAAATAAGTTTTAAATTGTATTATTTAGAGGCAAATTTCGGAGTATAATTAGAAAGCTAAGTAATTTTTTTTTTAATTTTAGATATCTTTTTTAACTTTTAAATTAGGTTAGATATATTAAATTATTAGATATTTTATCTTTATTTTTTATCTGTAGTTTGCTTGTTATTATTTTTTTTTTTGGTATTTTGGACTTAGTTTTTATTTCTTTTATTATAAATATAGTATCTTATGTGTATATTCCATACAATAGAGGTTAATCTAATATATATTTTTTACTATATTGAACATGGTGTAAGAGCTTAGGGTTCTTTTAGGAAAAAAATTTGTTGCATCTGGCATTACACCCATCATTTCCTAAGAGACATTGTGTGCATGTATGCATGTGTGTTGTGTACGTGTGTGCGTGTGTGCGTGTGTGCTTATGCGTGTGTGTGTGTGGGTGTGTGTGGGTGTGTGTGTGTGTATGGGTGTGTGGGTATGTGTATGTGTGTGAGTGTGGATATGTGTGGGTGTGTGTATGTCTATGTGTGTGTGTATCGGTGTGTGCCTGTGTGCGTGTGCGTGTATACCAGTGTGCGTGTGCGTGTATACCAGTGTGCGTGTGCGTGTATACCAGTGTGCGTGTATGCATGTGTGTGTGTGCCTGTGTGCGTGTGTGTTGTGTGCATATGTGTGTGTGTTTATGCACGTGTGTGTGTGTGCTCTATGCGTATGTGCTTGTGTGTGTGTGTGCTTGTATTCATGTGTATGTGTGTGTGCGCGAGTGTACGTGTGCGCATGTCTGCATGTGTCTATCTGTCTATGTGTGTTCCTATGTGCGTGTGTGTTTGTGTTCGTGTGTGTGGGTGTAGGCGTAGATGGGTATATATGTCTGTGAGAGAGTGTTTAACTACTTATGTACTTGTGGGCGTGTGAGGGTGTAGGTGTGGGTTATTGTGAGTGTGTATATGTGTGTGTCTGTTTATGTATGTGTATGTATGCGTGCGTGTGTGTGTACGTGTGTGTATCTATGTGTGTGTGCGAGTGTTTTTATGGTCGTGTGTGCATGTGTGCGTATAGGCGCGTGTGTCTGTGTGGCTGTGTGTGCGTGTGACTGTTTGTGCATGTGTGTTTGTGTGTGTGCATGCATGTGTGAGTGTGTATGTGTGTGCGTGTGTTCATGTGTGAGTGTGTGCTTGTGTGTTTGCGTTTGTGTGTCTGTATGCATATGTGCGTGTGTTAATACGCGTATGTTCGTGTGTGCTTGTGTGCGTGTGTGCTTGTGTGCATGTGTGCGTGTAGGCGAGTGTACGTGTGTGTGTCTATGTGTGTGTGCATGTGCGCGCGCGTGTGTCTGTGTGTGCGTGTGCGCGTGTGGGCGTATGTGTTTTTGTGCGTGTGTGCATGTTTGCTTATGTGTGGTTGTGTGTGTGCGTGTGTGGGTGTATGCTTTTGTGCATGTGTGTGGGTGTGATTGTGTGTGTGTGTGTGTGTTTGTGGGGGTGTGTGTGTGTGTGTTGAGCTGTGGGTTTGTGTGTATGTGTGTGTGTGTGAGTGTGGGTGTAGGTTTTTGTGTGCGTGTGTGTGTTTGTGTGTCTGTGTGTTTTCGCGTGTTATTGTGGGTGTGTATGCATATGTGCGTGTGTAAATGTGCGTGTGTCCGTGTGTGTTCTGTGCGTGTGTGCCTGTGTGCGAGTGTTGATAACGATTGAATTTACTGTTATTTGTGATGCTATGCTGATACTAAAATAACCCCTTTTGACTTTGAAGCTTGCTTAAATTCTTGTTTTAGTTGAATTTGGTGAATAAGTGAAGAGAGGTTATACTTTATGAATTTGATCACTAATTCCCTCGATTTTGTAGGTTATTGGTATGATTGGAAGAGGAGCAAAAGTGTCAAAGAGTTGGAACCCAGGAGGGATAGCATAAGCATTGGGAAAAAAGACTGAAAGAAGGTTGAAGAAGGACCGTAGGGCGCTTGGTTTCCCTTTTTAGGGGCCCTCAGCGTCAGAAGTCTCG